GGGTGTGAGGGATGAGTTGCGGGAAATGTGGGAGACATGGTGGAAGGCGTTCTCAACCACTGAGGGGGGTAAGTTGCGGTCCTTGAAAAACGAGGACATCTGAGATGTACGGGAGTGGAATGCCTCATCCTGGGAGCAGATGTGGCGGAGGCGAAGGAATTGGGAATAGGGGATGACATTTTTTGCAGGAAGGTGGGTGGGAGGGAGGAGGTGTTTTCTAGGTAGCTGTGGGAGTCGGTGGGCTTGAAATGGATATCGGTTTCTAGGTGGTTGCCCGAGATGGAGACAGAGAGGTCCAGGAACGTGAGAGAGGTTTTAGAGATGGTCCAGGTGAACTTAAGGTTGGGGTGGAAGGTGTTGGTGAAGTGGATGAACTGTTCGAGCTCCTCATGGGAGCACTGACGCCAACTCTCCGACACCTCCTCCGATCGCCCCCTTGATCATGACCCACCCCCGAGCACCAAACCATCATCTCCCAAACCATCCACAACCTCATCACCTCAGGTGACCTCCCACCCACGGCCTCCAACCTCATCCAACCCCAACCCCACACCGCCCGCTTCTATCTCCTTCCCAAAATCCACAAACCTGACTGCCCTGATCGACCCATTGTCTCCACCTGCTCCTGCCCCACTGAACTTATCTCCAACTATCTGGACTCCATTTTCTCCCCCTTGGTCCAAGAACTCCCTGCCTACGTCCGTGACACCACCCACGCCCTCCACCTCCTCCAGAACTTCCAATTCCCCGGTCCCCAACACCTCATCTTTACCATGGACGTCCAGTCCGTATACACCTGCATTCCCCATACAGATGGCCTAAAGGCCCTCCGCTTCTTCCTGTCCCGCAGGCCCGACCAGTCCCCCTCCACTGACACCCATATCCGCTTAGCCGAACTCGTCCTCACCCTCAACAACTTCTCTTTCAATTCCTCCCACTTCCTACAGACAAAGGGGGTGGCCATGGGTACCCGCATGGGCCCAAGCTATGCCTGCCTCTTTGTAGGTTACGTGGAACAATCCCTCTTCCGTACCTACACCGGCCCTCAACCCCACCTCTTCCTCCGTTACATTGATGACTGTATCGGCGCCGCCTCATGCTCCCACGAGGAGCTCGAACAGTTCATCCACTTCACCAACACCTTCCACCCCAACCTTAGGTTCACCTGGACCATCTCTAACACCTCTTTCACCTTCCTGGACCTCTCTGTCTCCATCTCGGGCAACCACCTAGAAATCGATATTCATTTCAAGCCCACCGACTCCCACAGCTACCTAGAATACACCTCCTCCCACCCACATTCCTGCAAAAATGCCATCCCCTATTCCCAATTCCTTCGCTTCCGCCGCATCTGCTCCCAGGATGAGGCATTCCACTCCCATACATCTCAGATGTCCTCGTTTTTCAAGGACCGCAACATCCCCCCCCTCAGTGGTTGAGAACGCCCTCCACCGTGTCTCCCACATTTCCCGCAACTCATCCCTCACACCCCATCCCCGCAATAACAACCAAAAAAGAATCCCCCCTCGTCCTCATGTACCATGCCACCAACCTCCGGATCCAACGCATCATCCTCCGACACTTCCGCCATCTGCAATCCGACCCCACCACCAAAGACATTTTTCCCTCCCCACCCTTATCTGCTTTCCGGAGGGACCACTCTCTCCGAGACTCCCTTGTCCGCTCCACACTCCCCTCCAGCCCCATCACACCCGGCTCTTTTCCCTGCAACCGCAGGAAGTGCTACACCTGCCCCCACACCTCCTCCCTCACCCCCATTCCAGGCCCCAAGAAGACTTTCCACATCAAGCAGATGTTCACCTGCACATCTGCCAATGTGGTATACTGCATCCGCTGTTCCTGTTGTGGCCTCCTCTACATCGGGGAAACCAAGCGGAGGCTTGGGGACCACTTTGCAGAACACCTATGCTCGGTTCGCAATAAACAACTGCACCTCCCAGTCGTGAACCATTTCAACTCCCCCTCCCATTCCTCAGACGACATGTCCATCCTGGGCCTCCTGCAGTGCCACAACGATGCCACCCGAAGGTTGCAGGAACAGCAACTCATATTCCACTTGGGAACCCTGCAGCCCAATGGTATCAATGTGGATTTCACAAGCTTCCCAAAACCAGCCCAGCTTGTCCCCGCCTCCCTGACCTGTTCTTCCTCCCACCTATCCCCTCCTCCCACCTCAAGCCACACCCCCATTTCCTACCTACTAACCTCATCCCGCCCCCTTGACCTGTCCATCCTCCCTAACCTGACCTATCTCCTCCCTACCTCCCCACCTACACTCACCTTTACTGGCTCCATCCCCGCCTCTTTGACCTGTCTGTTCCCTCTCCACCTATCTGCTCCTCTATCCATCTTCTATCCGCCTTCCCCTCTCTCCCTATTTATTTCAGAACCCCCTTCCCCTCCCCCATTTCTGCTGTAGGGTCTAGGCCTGAAACGTCAGGCTTCCTGCTCCTATGATGCTGCTCGGCCTGCTGTGTTCATCCAGCTCTACACCTTGTTATCTCAGATTCTCCAGCATCTGCCGTTCCTACTATCTCTGATAGAATTTTATGAAGTTTTTCTGTGTGTTGGCTAATTAAGGTAAGCATCCTGTATACCTTCTTCATTCTGTCTACCTGTTCTGACACCTTCAGGGATCTCTGGAGTTGTACATCAAAGTCCCTTTATTCCTTCGTACTACTTAGGGACCTGACATTCATTGTGTATATCCTTCCCCCATTAGACCTCCCAAAATGCATTATCTTGCACTTATCAGGATTAAATTCCATCTGCCATTGCTCTGCCCAATTTACCAGCTGATCAATGTCAGACTGTAGTCTGAGACCAGGCTCCTCCTCACTATCAATAACACCCCCAATTTTAGTGTCATCTGCAGTAGTAACTTTAGAAAGGCAAGCGTAACTTACCAAGGACATATTCTTTGAATTTTGAAAAATCTTCACATTTGTGGCAATTCCAGGAATAGCGGAGCTCAACTTCTAACTTGCTATCTGAATGGGCATAATGATATCAGTGGGAACCGTGTTGTCAGTCCAACAATGTGTATATTTTTCAAGGAATGTACAATTTAACAAAGATAATGTAGTTTTAAAGGAGCAACTTAGGATCTCTCTCTGGCCTCCTGAGCTTTAGACTTGCTATAAATTGTGGGGAGCGTTCCTAGTTGATATTCAATGCTGCTACATAACCAAGTCTCTAAATTTTAAACTTTTGGAACAGTAATATTCATAGAGTAATCAAGTGCAGTACATATCTGTACAACAAGCAAAGGAGATGACGTACAAAAGATGCAATGTTAGAATGAGCAATGATGTGTTCTGATTTTTACCGCTAAAGTTTTGGGAGAAACATTGGATGATACTTGACCACTTTGTTAATGTCTCTCAACATTCATGTTGAGGTGGTATGTTGATCAAAGATAAAGTCCTGAGTCCTTAAGAGACTTTTGAAGTTGGGAGGTGTTTAGGAAGATGAATGAGTCTCGCTGAGGAATCCTGACATGCACAAATATATTGACTGATTAGAGAGAGTCCAGACCCAGCAAACTCGGATCAGAATATGAATTGAGTAGGAGTGCAAACCTAGAGAAAGTCGCACAGAGATGAGGCCATGGAAGAATTTTAGTAAGCACAAGAATTTTGAAACTAAAGTGTTGAGATAAAAATTCAGTGGAGGTAGTTGTGATGAAGACACTGGTCTTAGTTAACTGAGATATATCGTATAGTTTGCATGATTTCCATGCAAGGATTATTCTCAGCCCCATTTTTTTGTTTCAAATCTGCATATGACTTTGCAACTCTTTGCCTGAGACCATTGGATTAATAGATTTGCTCGGTGTGGTACTTTAAATAAAAATGTTGCTCAGTATGGTACTTTAAATAATGGTAGGGATTCTGTTGTGTTCGCCATCATTACTGCACCAAAGCTGCCAATCACTTTGGGACGCCATGCAAAACCATACAAGAGGCCAGAAAACGCTGTCACCAATTCTAATCTTTGCCCTAAAATTTTACACAAACTTCAAAAACAACTTTAAAGTGGAGAATTTTATCATAATTGAGAAATTTGAAATGCCACAATTTAAAATTATATGTAAGGCTAATGAAAATATTTTGAAGTAATTATGACCTCATCATGCTATAAACGGGTACACCCCAATCTTTGCCCTGAAGTGCACTGACCCTAACCCTAATCCTAACCCCATTGCATTCCAAAGCAGTAAGGAAGTTAACTAAATTTTCCACTTTTATGCTGTTCGTCTTGCTGTAAAATCCTTCGGAAAAAGTTGCGCCTTCATGATTGGGGTGTACCTGTTTATAGCATGATGAGGTCATAATTACTTCAAAATATTTTCATTAGCCTTACATATAATTTTAAATTGTGGCATTTCAAATTTCTCCATTATGATAAAATTCTCCATTTTAAAGTTGTTTTTGAAGTTTGTGTAAAATTTTTAGTTTCTATCTTAACCTTACCTGATTAATTATTTTGTTATCTCAAAGTTTAAATTTAAAGTGAAGGGATAAAGTATTTTTAACTTTGTGACTTGTTTCTGTGACACCTTTTCAATGTGATTGACTAGTGATCTGCTTTTTGATATCACTGGTGCTAGGAGCCTGGACACCTGTTGACTTGGTGCCAGGTGTAAATTGCTGTTGAAGAAGGACTTAGACATACCGCAAGTATTCTCACACATAGAAGATGACAAATTTAAATATACTTTATCTCGTCACATTTAATGTAAATTTTCATATAGCAAAATAATTAATTAGGTTTAAGATAGAAGCAAATAAACGTTGTGAACAATTTTCTTTGAGATCACCAATGTGTGCCATTGTTTCATCACTGTAGATTTCCTAACCACGATGCTGTGAAATAAGGTGTTGTAGTTATCTTCTGGGTAAAGTTTTTTGAACAAATACAGCATAGCTCTGATAATGTGTTAGTATTTATTGTAAATTTTCTGATTTATTTTCTAGCCATTCACTGGTGGTGGATACCGTCTGGGAGCATCATCACATGAACAATCTGAATATGTATCACAAGATAAAAAACAAGATTCTAATCTCGATGTAAGTTTTGAATGTTAATATTCCAGAAGGCCAGTTGGTGAAGGATAGAACCACAGCCAATGTCTGTACAGTTTTATAGGTATTTATTTACTGAGGTGTAAATTAGAAGTGTACACTTCCTAAGTCACCATTGATAATATCAATCTGTGCGTACTTAGAAACATAAGTGAATGCCGAGTTAAAGGACACCGCTTGCATGCAATGAAACATAATTCATACTCAATTAACAGCATGAGCTGAAGGATAAAACAAATCATAATAACTGTCTGCAGCAAAACTATTATTCCTTGCCAATGGTTCCATCTGTTCTTTTCTACCGTTGAAGGATTATGCCTGCATTGTTTATGCCATTCACTAAAAAAAAAAATCCATTGTCTGAACATGACTGCATATCCATCTATCCTACCTTCCTTTTCATCTAATGTGTGAACAATATCTTAATTAAAATATTAAGAGTGCTGCTCCCAGTGGATGGGGTACAAGGGACAGTCCGATGGAATCAAATGCCGTTCTGTTACTGAAGTGGCCACCATCACTGTTAATCTGGTCCCCAGCAATGAAAGTGCCACCTCATGAGAGCTACCAGTTAGTCAGGCTATGTGCTCTACATGCTGCAATGTCCCCAGAGGCCCAGGAACTTGAAAGCAGGGTGAACTTGTGGGATAATGTGACAGAGTTAGGGCTAAGAAAAGGGCAGGAGGTGGCTTTCTGCTGAGCAAGCCTCCCCTCACTCAGTCATTGCCAGGTTCTTCTGTCACCTCCAACCCTTTCCCTCACAAGGGGACACTGGCAATCCCAATAGAAGAAGCCATATGGCCTCCATTTATTTCTGAACCACTAAATTACTGGACTGAGGAACAATTGATGTGAATTGGCTCATATTGAACCTAACTGACATCTAACACTGGCAAAGTGGAATCCCGCCTCAGCCTCCTAACCCTTTAATTTAATGTGAGGGGTGGGGGGAAAATGGAGAGACTGGGAGAGTTATGCTGCCATCAGGATACTAAGTACAGCCTCTCCCACAATGCGGCTGACTCAGTCATCATGTTTCCTACTGTGATGGGGTGCATGGAATCCAACTCTTCTGGCTGAGGATTCTTCAACCTGATTGGTTGAAGATCTCTATTCCCTACCCTACGAAAGGCCCTGTAGAGACCAGCGTGCTGAAACAGATAGCTGTGGGTGGAATTCATTCCTGAACCTCCAAGAAACACAAGTTAGGGCTTGAACCCTGTTCTGTGAGGAAGTAGTCACATATTGAGATTTTAGACCATAAGACCATAAAATATAGGAGCAGAATTAGGCCATTTGGCCCATCGAATCTGCTTCCCCATTCAATCATGACTGATATATTTCTCAACCCCGTTCTCCTGCCTTCTACCCAAGCAGACAACTCAAGGTCTCAGGTATGAGGCACCTACCTTCAGGTACCTAATCTGGGCTCTATAGTTGGTTAAAAATCCCAGTCAGCCTCCTTTAATTGAACTTACTCAGGCCTTTAACAAGGATAATTTCCTTCTCACTGCCTAGTGCAAGAAACTATGCCAAACCAGTTTCCATATTTGCAAAAATAGCCTACAAAGGAACTTCGAAACCTGTGGAAAATCAAACCCCAATTACTGATGTCTGTGCTCTTAAAGGCAGCCCAATCTCTGTGACAACTGTAAATGTTTTGTTTGTATTCTAATGTTTGATTTATCGTTAAAGTGTCTGCTGCATTTCTTGTTGTAAGAAAAATTTGCTGTGCTCCCTGATGTTGTGTACCAGTAGTAGCTGAAACAGTGGCGGCCTTTTGCAACCCACAACCCAGGCAGATTATGAAAGTGACTTGATAATAAGAATATATCACTTTGGAACTTAGACGATTAACTATATTTAGGTGCTTGTAACAGGTTCGAGATCATATCTATCATATATATTTTTTACGATACCATTTTTAATACAGTTATAAAGTGTTAGATGAATAAATTGAAGGAACTTTGAATCATTTAATTATTTAATCTACTCAAAAGTTAAGAGACTAAACCTTTCATTTACAAAGAAATGAATAGAAGAATAGTTTGGTTAAGATTTTACTTAGTTATTTGAGTAAATTTTACGGTGTAAGAACCAAAGCTAATCCAAATTATTTTTCCACTTCTTTCAAAATAAAAATGGGGCTGGGACTTGTTTTGTTAGTTGTGTGTTGATATGTGTGATATGGGTGTATGATTTTTGATAGGTTCAAATTTTGCTGAAACTATGGAAAAACGGTTTCAGTCTAGATGATGGAGAACTGCGTACCTACACAGACGCTGCAAATGCTGAATTTTTGGAATCCATTAGCAGAGGGTAAGATTGTGTTAATTCCAAAATGCTAATTTTTTATGACAATCCAACCTTTTGAATATTTTTCACAAATTTACTGATGCTTTCAACAACATATTACTTTGAGGTAGGCTTGAACATGGGACAGAGCTTTACTCCAAACAGAAATGTGATTTGTAAAATTTATAAGTTTTTACCTTGCATATGTTATCTGTTTCTGTGTATACTGTTTGTACATGTTCTTTGTCAAGTCTCCCTGTCTCCATCATTGCCTGCCATTTGTCTCTCTTGTACAAGTTATTTTTCTCATGGCCATTTTATTTTCAATCTTCGTACTTTGTACTTTTCCAAATATCTGTCCCTTTCATCCATCTTTTCTGATTCTTCTCCTTGCCATCTTCAAAAATCACACAACACCAGGTTATGGTCCAACAGGTTTATTTGAAAACAAGCTATTGGAGTCTTACTCCTTCTACAGGGGTTAGTGAGAAAGGTAGCATGAGACACAGCATTTATAAGCAAAAGATCAAAGGGTCATAGAACAGATGCAAATGTATAGAACAAACCTAACATGGCTGGTAAATCTTTAATCAGTTAGAAAGGAGATGCAGGTTTCAATTGATTAATATGCAAATCCCAGAATTTCTTTCAGGTCACTGCCCTGAGATAATTAAAGGGTTTGTCAGTATACCAGAGATGACATCTCAGGTCAGACAATGCATTTTAGGTTTGACTGTCTACAAATTGTGTGCTTTTTCAACAAAATCGAATGTACCTGCAATTACAAATACACAAATGCAAATTCATCCCATAAATTTGTGTGTGTGTGTGTGTGTTGGGGGCGTGGGGGAGGGCGGTGGGGGGAGAGTGGGTGCGGGTGGAGAAAGAGAGAGTGTGTGTGTCTGTGTGAGGGAGAGAGAGACAGACAGACAGAGTGTGTATGCGAAAGGAGGAGTCAAATTGGACCCCTGTGGAAGGCCATTGCCCTGGGCTTGACATGTATGCTCAAGCCATCAGGGTATGCATGAACACCAGATTCATCAGCCACACTTGTAAAGTAGCACAAAACATCACCCAAGCACAATGCAACGCCACCCAGGCTCTCAAGACAAATCACAACATTGTAATGAAACCAGCAGACAAAGGAGGAGCCATCATCATGCAGAATAGAACAGACTACTGCAAGGAAGTATACCGACAACTGAACAACCAGGAACCCCACAGACTACTTCCTGCCAATCTGACCAAAGAACACACTCATGAACTCAACAGACAGTCCTTCAGAGTACCCTACATACTATCATGCTGCATACTTCTCGCGTAGGGGCCTTCTGAAGATACACAAAGCCAATACACCTGGACGTCCCATCATATCAGGCAGTGGGACCATGTGTGAGACCCTCTCTGGCTACATTGAGGGCATCTTGAAACCCATTGTATAGGAACCCCCAGCTTCTGTCACGACACTACGGATTTCTTACAGAATCTGACCAGCCACGGGCCAGTCGAACCAGGAACATTCTCGTCACAATGGACGTTTCGGCACTCTACACCACTATCTCCCACGGTGATGGCATCGCTGCATCAGCCTCAGTACTCAATACCAACAACTGTCAATTTCCAGACGCCATCCTACAACTCATCTGCTTCATTCTCAACTACAACATCTTCACCTTCGACAACCAGTTCTTCATCCAGACACACGGAACAGCCATGGGAACCGGATTTTCTCCCCAGTATGCCAACATTTTCATGCGCAGGTCCGAACAAGACTTCTTTGCTGCGCAGGACCTCTGACCAACACTATACACCAGATACATTGATGACATTTTCTTCCTTTGGACTCATGTCGAGGAATCACTGAAACAGCTACATAGTGATAGCAACAAGATCCATTCCACCATCAGACTTACCATGGACTGCTCTTCAGAATCAGTCTCATTCTTGGACACGTGTATCTCCATCAAAGACGGACGCCTCAATACCTCACTCTGCTAGAAGCCTACGGATAACCTCATAATGCTGCACTTTTCTAGCTTCCAGCCTAAACATACTAAAAAAGCCATCCCCTACAAACAAGCCCTACACATACACAGGACATGTTCAGATGAGGAGCAACGCAACAGACACCTGAGTGCATTGAAGGACGCCCTCATAAGAATGAGATACGGTGCTAAACTCATCGATCGCCAGTTCCGACGTGCCACAGCGAAAAACCGCAATGACCTCCTCAGAAGACAGACATGGGATATAACCAATAAGGTACCCTTCGTCATCCAGTGCTTCCCCAGAGCAGAGAAACTGCACCATGTTCTTTGCAGCCTTCAACACGTTATCGATAACAATGAGCACCTCGCCAAGATCTTCCCCACACCTCCACTTCTTGCCTTCAAACAACTGCCAAACTTTAAACAGACCATTGTTTGCAGCAAACTACCCAGCCTTCAGGACAGCATTGACCACAACACTATACAACCCTGTCATGGCAACCTCTGTAAGACATACCAGATCATCAACATGGACACTACCATCACACATGGGAACACCACCCATCACATGCACGGCAGATACTCATGTGATTCGGCCAACATTGTCTATCTCATATGCTGCAGGCAAGGATGCCCTGAGGCATGGTACATTGGCGAAACCGTGCAGACGCTACGACAATGGATGAATGAACATCGCGCAACAATTGACAGATAGGAATGTTCCCTCCCAATGGGGGAATACTTTAGCGGTCATGAACATTTGGCCTTGGATCTTTGGGTAAACATCCTCCAAAGCGGACTTAGGGATACACAACAACTCAGAATTGTTGAGCAGAGACTGATAGACAAGTCTGGTACCAATGAGGGAACTTGCTCCTCAACCGGGAACTTGGATTCATGTTGCACAATAGGTGACCCCACCGCACTGTCACCCCACTATACACTGTCTCGTTGACACTCACACACATACACTCTCACACAAACTCACTTTCTCACGCACGCACACATGCACACAGACCCTTCTAATAAGTACACTGACTCCCTCACTCATGCACACGCTCTCTCTCTAGCGCGCACACTCGCACTCTCTCTCACTCTCTCTCTCTCTCTCACACACACACACACACACACACACACACACACTCTCACTCTAACTCACATTCTCACTCTCGTCCCCTCATAAACATGCACACACACATAAATTTATGGGGTGAATTTGCACTTGCAGATTTGTAATTGCAGATGCATTCTATTTTGTTCAAAAAGTGCACAATTTGTAGGCAGTCAATGTGGCATTTTATAAATTTCTACTTTGGAAATAAAACCAGTCTGACTCCAATTTAAAACACAGACAGATTCTAAACAAGGCCTCACACCTAAAATGCATTGTCTGACCTGAGATGCCCCCTCTGATATACTGATAAAATGTTTAGTTATCTCGGGGCAGTGACCTGAAAGAAATTCTGGGATTTGCACGTTAATTAATCAAAACCTGCATCTCCTTTCTAACTGATTAAAGATTTAACAGCCATCTTAGGCTTGTTCAATACATTCGCATCAGTTCTCTGACCCTTTGACCTTTTACTTATAAATTGTGTGTCTGATGCCACCTCTCTCACTAATACCTGAACAAGGAGCAAGGCTGTGAAAACTTGTGTTTTCAAATAAACCTGTTGGACTATAACCTGGTGTTGTGTGATTTTTGACCTAGTCCACCCCAGTCCAACACCAGCACCTCCACACCTCGCCACCTCAATACTACTACCCTACTTTTGTACTCAACGCCTTCCATTTTTGCCAGTCGTGTTTCTTCTTCCTCAACCGTTCATTCTAACCTTCCTCTTTCATTGCTTACGTAGGTTCACTCTAAACCTGTTGCTCTAATGACATTTCAATTATGTTGTGTTTCCTTATGCATTCTTGCAAACAGGGAGATTCCTATTGAGCTCCAAAAATTGGTTCATGGCAATCAAGTAAGTTTGGATATGGAGGATCACAGAAGTGAAGAATATTTGAAACACAAATTGAAGTTCAAGGCATTTTCTGGAGATGGACAGAAATTGGGAAGGTAAGGGATGAGTATTAAGTAGGATATTGGTCCATGTCACAGGTTTGCAATATGCATATGTCCTCAAATCTTAAATAAATAAATCTTAAAATGCTTCCTGGATTTAAAGATGCCTACGACCTTCCTTAAATTAGTCTTTGTAAAGGTATATACAGTTGACATTTAAAATAAAGGCTTAAATTGTTTTCTTCTTAAGATCAGAAGATCATTTTGGATAAAGAACAACATTATATCATTAATGACGCATTCAGCCTTGATTGACTTACTGGCTAGTATATTATAAACCTTCTTTGTTTGGAATAATTACGTCTGTATTTTTTACCTTGCCTTTTCCGAGCTTCGATCCAGTGGCCACCCCTCTGTTGTCCTTTTGGGTACAGTGCACAGTTTCTAATGTTTCAATCCTTACATGGAAAGATGAACTTACCAAATAGAATGTTCTACTTGTTTGATGTAGCTTCTAACATGTTGTGTGAACATTATCCATTCTCACATTAGGTGACCATTTATTCATTCAGACATCGCTGGCAAGGTCAACACTTATTACTCATTCCTAATTATCATTGAGAGAGTGCTGGTGAACCACCTTCTTGCCTCCTTCTGTGTAGTGCAGGTACTATGCTGCCACAGTCCATATTGCTGTTGGATAGATGGAGTTCCGGATGTTGGCAAGAGATTTCCAAGTCAATAAGACTTGGAGGTGCTGATGGTTGTGTGCCTGCCACCCTTGTCCTTCTGAGTATTACAGCTTACAGATTTGGGAGGTACTGTCAGAGAAATGTTGGTGACATGTCAGTGTTTCTTATTGATGATGTACTGGTGTACTATATAGTGTGGAGAGCAGCGATGTTTAAGGTGGTCAGCGGATCGCTAGTTTGAAGTAAGATTGACCTAGACCTCAGAATTGACAGTGTTCAGATAATAATTTCAATATTTAAAGTGCTTTAAATGGATTATAAACTGTTTCATGCCCTCTTTCCCAAGTGGTAACTACACCAGTAAAATTTTGATAGTCATAAACATTTTGTTTTTATCCCTTTGTATAGCCCGACTCCAACCATCGTTAGCACGCCATCTTCTCCTGAGGAAGAGTTCAAATATTTTGTTAATATTGTGGATATAAATGACTCTGAGCCAACTACCAACATTCAGGTTCGTCTAGCAGATGGAAGCCGTTTGGTGCAGAAATTCAATCAAACTCATCGGTAAGACTTCGCACAGTTCTCTCTTTGTGATGTTACTACAGTACCCCTTGTTATGTGTTCACCTGCATGTACAAGTATACTATTGGTATGACACCCAATCTGTAATTAGTGGTAGCTAGGAAGTAAGAATTGAGAGTTAATAATCTTGTGGGTATGCATCTAGGGTGCACCTTTGCTGCCTGGCACTCATTTGCAGAGTTACAATATATCAGCCCATGTGCATATGGAGAAGTATAAGAAATAAACACATAAGCCTCTAGCGTCTTGTGTCTAAAAGTGTGATTTCTTCCAAACTCTTGGGAATCCGACGATTTAACATGGTTGAACCAGGTGTCTGTCAGTAAGATTCAACTACTTTAAACATATTAAATGATGAATTAAATTGAGGAAAATCAATCCAAATTTCCGCTGGATAGAGAAAAGAACCTGCGTGAATTATGATAATTTGAAATGGCTGCTGCCACAGCAACCTATGTGTAGCTACAAGCCATAATGTATTGAGTTGTAGCAGCACTTGAGAAGTTTAAATGAAATTGCACACTAGAATTCAGTAACTTTCAAAATGACACTTATGAAGAGAAAAGGATCAGCAACATCCTTTTCTGGATAAGAGAGAAAGCACTAGATTTGATTGCTAACTGAATTGAGTGAGGATGACAGCATAACTTCAGGCAATATTTTAATTATAAGTTTAGCACACATTTCCAGCCAAAGTTCATTTCTAAGCCTAGGGCAGGAACCAGGTGAGCTTGCCGACAACTGACAATTGAAAAATGTAGTCATAAAGTATAATTTCAAGCAAAGAGGTGAAAGGTTGACAGATCAGCTCGTAGGGAACTGCAGAACCTGAGGTACAAAAGTATTTAATTGGAAAGAACAAGCTTAAATATCGTAGATGGAAGACAGTGCCAGAACACAGTAACAAATAAACGGAAGAAGATGTTGACTTCCCAAACCACATGTCTTCTGAGAGAGGTAACTTGAATCCCACTGCCCCACCACCACCACAACTTCTGTCAATAAGTGAACATAGAAAAATGGAAAATAGGTGCAGGAGTAGACCATTCAGCCCTTCGAGTCTGCACCACCATTCAATATGATCATGGCTGATAATGCAGTCTCAGTATCCCATTCCCACACATTGTCCATACCCCTTGATCCCTTTAGAAAGCTGCAAGGGCCACGCCCAGCTCCACCTTGAATATATCTAATGAACAGTCTCCTGTGGGAGAGAATTCCACAGGTTCACAACTCTGAGTGAAAAAATTCATCCTCATCTCAGTCCATGTAAGACATTCAGGACTGTAAGGTGCTTTTTGAAAATTCATTTACTATTTTTTTCAAATAGACCATGGTATGTTTCCCTCGCACACTGCTTCTGAAGTCCATTTTTTTAAATGACCCATAATAAACAAGGTGTCAAATGGCCTTATCCCTGCTGCCTTCTGTATTTTTATGTTTGTGCTGTTTGCCTATGTGTTTTTAATTCTGTTAGGATTGCCAATATGTATTTTGGTTAGGACCCTAAAATCTGGCAGGGATTACAATTCAGATCAATATCCAAGAGGGAAACAAAGACTGTTCAGAGTGCTTGCACCCATTGCTTTCATCCCAATGTCAAACATATTTCTAATGGATGATCTAGAATATGTTTGAAGTCTTAGGTGTTTGTTTTCCTTCAGTCCCTTTGAGAGCTTCTGAACCTTAATAATGTTTCTCAAGTGTGCATTAATATTTTTCTAATTACAGAATTAGTGACATTCGCCAATTTATCATTCAACACCGCCCTACTTATGCTACTTCCTCCTTTGTATTGATGACCACTTTCCCAAATAAAGAGCTGACAGATGAAGAGCAAACTCTGCTAGAGGCCAAGCTACTTAATGCAGTGATTGTTCAGCGCATGAAGTAATTTCACCTTTGCGGGACTGTACAGGGTAGAACAAGCTTGACAAATTTTTCAGTATACTGAATTTGAATGATGTGTGTCATATGGTAAAATTGCCATGACGCTCACCTCAAACCAACTTTGCACAGGACGGAGGTATAAAGGGATTGTGGACCTGCAGCAGGAGGCTATGCTCACTTTCCTATGAAGGGCTTATCAGAACACTTGTCTGTACAGTAAAGGCAAACATTTAATATGTACACGTCTACTCATTCTTAAATGGGAAATTCTATGTCATATTAGTAACTGGAAACATTCTACAGAAGTAACTGGAGCCTTCAGATAACTGCTACAAACTTGAAACTTTGTTTCAACAACTACTACTGTATTTGAGCTAGATTCACTTGAATTTTCAAAAAAAGCTATTTTAAATTGTGCATCTGGAGATTAAAAATGCACTAGTTAATACAGACATATTTATGCATGATATGACAATATTGAGTATAATATTGTTGATGTTTTATGGGATCTGTAAGAAGTGATCAAAATTTATGTACTGTTGGTAATCTCAATTGTGGAATAAAACATTGTTAATGTGTATGGCATAAAATTATATTATAGTGAATGTTGCATTAGTTGCCACTTGCAACTGTTTCCATGAGATGAATATTACTAGCCGTGTCAGGAACGTCTTCAATTGATAGGTTCTTTGAATTGGCTGCAGCAACAATGGCTGCATGTTTCATTGCTTCTAGAACCAGTTAAAAGTTTACTTTGAAATTCAATGATGGCTCAAGACATTGGAGTGCCTTCTGTTTTTCAAAAATTTGAAACAGCCTATTTGGCTAAGTTTGAGTTATGTGTCTGTCATAGGATATAGATGTTAGTATTCCGTTTGTTAATTAATTATCTTCTATTGTTTTATTGCTGGTTGTGCAATGATTGTGACAAAGTTAGAAATAAAAACGGTAGGTCTGAATACTGCTAAATACCTAATTTAGACACATCGAAGAAAGGGGGAAAAGTACCCATTGTCAACTTAACATAAAATTATTGGCTGCCAAAAATCATTTGGTGTTCAAAACCGTAATTAAACCCAGAGCCCATTCGATAAAATGGCTGTCACTGATAAATAATGTGCTCCATTGTACTGCTGCCAAGAAGAGTTGTCCTTTTGATCTTGGATATTTCTTTGCCTCAGATTGATGTTGCCTCAGGACAGCTTGCTATTTTATTTTTACAAATGTCTTCTACTTACTTCTAAACGCTGTCAGAAAAATCTTTTAAGCAACTATTTTGTGCCTTTCTTCCACGTTTCCTGTAGCAATTTCTTTAAAATTAAGGTGAATTTTTGCCATCATTTTGAGTGCAAATTTAAAATGCAAGAAAATTAATATTATTCAGAATTGATTGGCTAGCCTGGTCTTAATCTCATGGTACTGGTTGGGTATGTGGATGGCATAGGTTTTACAAGTATATCAAGAATGGCCCTCACCGCCACCTTTTTGAGGGCAATTAGGAATGTGCAATAAATACTGACCTAGTCGGCAATCACATCCCATGGACAAATATTTTAAAAAAAACAAGATCTTTATAGTTGGTAAATGTGTGTCTTGTCCTTGCTTGGTAATTTTTCAAATGGGTGAGTTATCACTAAAACAAAAAGTACGGAAAAACTTTACATTTGGCTATTGTACATAGCTGAAACCCTGTAGATAACAGACTGACTTTTTATCAAATCTTTTATTTTCATACTAACCCTTCCTTTAAGTTCTTAGTAGGAACTGCAAATGTAGCTGTAGAACACTATCAATAGATAATGAAACTCCAGCCTTCACTTAAACACGTCGAATTTTTGTTAAAAGAAGCCTGCATTTTGTTTGTTAAAATGGAACTTGCAATGAATATCAAATGTATTAGCAATTGTAACACTTGTCAGTTTACATTAATTTTCACTAAAGTTTTTTGAAGACAATGTTGCAGCTCTGAATCAAATTAGTCTTAACAGTTACTTTACTAACCTCATGGAATGTTCCTTTGCACAGCAATTAAATACTTTCCTGCAAACAGACACTTTGAACAGTGATTTATTTCTTTACTTGCCAGAAGTCAAGTTCATCGTATTTTCATATATGACAGCTGCATACTACTGAATTTTTGCTTGCTAAAATTTATGGTGAATCGATTAGAATTTGTATGTTTTGAGTCATAGACTTTTATAAAAAGAAATCGTTCAGATCAGATTGAAACTGTGCACCGTACCAGATGCACCCGCATTCTGTCTACAACCCCAATCCTTTATATTTCATAATAGACAATTTCCCTATAACATCAACATGTAGCATGGTACTGCACTGCCACTGAGTGGTAGGATATAGCTTTCCACCCATAAATCCTTTGCCATGTTTTCATTCCAGCTTCAATCTCATTCCTACAGCAAATCAGAATGAAATGTAAGCACCAATGCAGGTGGAAGGCTAAACACCATTCTTGGGCAGCTCTGGAAATGTATCAGAGTGCTGATTACAAATGCTATCAATAGAGGCCTGTAAATAGTCCTACTAACTTCAGGAACAAAAACAAAGTTGCTGGAAAAGCACAGCAGCATCTGTGAAGGAAAAGACAGAGTTAATGTTCCGGGTCCGATGACCCTTCCTCAGAACTGATGGTGGCTAGGAAAACGTCAGTTTATATGCGAGAAAAGGGGAGGGGTATGGGGTAGAGAGTAAACAATAGGATAGAACCTAAAGAGAGAGAAGAGCAGTTGGGCAAACAAAGAGTTGACAATGATCAGGCTGGGAGGATGAATAGTTGTTAATGGGGACTATTAGTGACTAATAACAGGTAGTGTGTAATGGCAGGCTATGTGGTAATAAGGCCTGGTGTGTGGGGTAGGGTGCTGGGACATGAGAGAGTTTAGGCCTTAAAATTATTGAACTCGATATTGAGTCCGGAGGACTGCAGGGTCCCCAAGTGGAAAATGAGGTGGTGTTCTTCTAGCTTGCATTGAGCTTCACTAGAACACTGCAGCAAGCCAGAGACAGAGATTTTGGTCAGGGACCAGGGTGGTGCATTGAAGTAGCAGGCAACAGATAGTTCAGGGTATTTTTTGTAAGCAGAACATAGATGTTCTGTGAAACAGTCACCTAGTCTACGCTTCATTTCCCCAATATAGAAGAGACCACATTGTGAGCAGTGAATGCAGTAGACTAGATTCTGGGGTGCTGGTCTAGAAGGTATGTTTGGGCCATTGAATACTGGGGAGGGAGGAGGTAAATGGGCAGGTGTTGCACCTTCGCCGGTTACAGGGGAAGGTGCTGTGGGGCTATGGGGGTTTTTGGGGTTGAAAGAAGTGTGGACCAGGGTGTCCTGGAGAGAACGACCCCTGCGGAAGTCGGACAAGGGTGGTGGGAGGGAATATGTGTGGGAAGGGAACATTTGGTGCATTACCTATGGAATAAACATGAAACGGCTTGCCCTTGTTTAAAATGTTCATTTTTAAAATTTTGGCTATTTAATTTTTAATCCAAGACAGATTCATTATGAGTGATGATTAAACCATAGCTGCTAAACTAACTTGTAGACTTATAAAAGATAGATGTAAAGTGTTGCATGTTGGTGAGGCAAATCTGGGCAGTACTTATATATGTAATGGTAAGGTCTTGGAGAATGTTGCCAAACAAAGATACCTTGGAGCACAAGTTCATAGTTTCTTGAAATTGGAGCCACAGGTAGCTAGGGTAGTGAGGAAGACGTTTGATATGCTAGCCTTTATTGGTCAGTGCATTGATGTAGGAGTTGGGATGTCATGCTGGTTGGTGTGTGGGTCATAGTTTAGACCAATTTTGGAATACTGTGTACAGTGCTAGTCTCCCTGTGTAGGAAAGATGTTGTGAAACTTGAAAGGTTCAGAAAAGATTTACAAGGATGTTGCTGTGGTTGGAGGGTTTGAGGTATAGGGAGAGGCTGAACTGGCTGGGGCTAAATTTGATGACAACATTTCCACATTGGTGGTTAGTTTCTCTGCCTTTGTTTCCCCATATCTGCCCCACAAAGTTGTGATCTTCCTTGAAGGGCGAACCTTCCTTGAAAGTTCAGGTTCTAAATTGGAGCAAGGTGAATTTTGATGAAATTAGGAACTTGCAGAGGTTGATTGGATTACTTTGCAGGCGAAAGGGCCTCTGGCAAGTGGGAGGCCTTTAAAAGTGTGATACCTAGAGATCAAGGTCTATATGTTCCTGTGAGGATGAAGGGCAAGGTTGGCAGGAGTACGGAGCCCTGGGTGACAAGAGATATTGAGGCTTGCACCAGAGAAAAGGAGGTGGCATCGCTCAGGAACAGGCAGCTGGGATCAAGGGAATCCCTGGAGGTACATAGGGCATACAGGAGTTTACTGAAGAAGGAAATCAGGGCATGAGATAGCTTTGGTTGAGAAGATTAGGGTGAATCCAAAGAGATTCTTTAAGTATATTGAAGGAAAAAGTATAACTAATAGGAACCCTCAAGGGCCAAAGTGGATATGAATGTGTGGAACCACAGGTAGACAGGACAGTGAAGAAGACTTTCAGCACACTGGCCTTCATCAGTGAGGGCATTGAGTGCAGAAGTTGGGAAGTTATGTTGCAGTTGTACAGATGTTGGTGAGGCTGCACTTGGAATATTGTGTTCAGTTTTGATCACCTTGCTGTAGGAAGGATGTTATTAAACTAGAAAGAGTGCAAAAGAAATTTGCAAGTCCCTTGCCAGGACTTGGGACTGAGGTATAGGGTGAGGTTGGACAAGCTGGGATGTTTTTCCTTAGAGCATAGTAGACTGAGGGAGGATCTGATAGAAGTGTATAAGATCTTGAAAGGCATGGATAGGGTGAATACTCTCAGTCTTTTTCCCAGGGTTGGGGAATTGAAGACAAGAGAGTATCAGTTTAAGGTGAGAGGGGAAAAGATATATGGGAACCTGAGGAGTAACTTATTTTATACAGAGGGTGGGACGCATATGGAATGAGTTGCCAGTGGAAGTGGTTGAGGTGGGTATATCAATAACATTTAAAAGGCATTTGGACAAATACGTAGATAGGAAAAGTTTAGAAAGTGAAAGACCAAGTGCAGGAAAATGGGGTTAGCATGGATGGATGTTTTGGATGGCATGGACCAGTTTGGGCAGAAGGGCCTGCCTCCATGCTGTAGGACTCTATGATTCTATAACTGACTCCCAAGTAGTCAATCCTTTGGTATTAAGATGCATGTTGAGGAGGGCAGCAGTGATTGTGCAATACCCAAATGTTCTAGTTTTGGATCATTGGGGATTGGATGTAAGACCCAACATGTGAATCAGAACTCTGTCCAGGATGTTTGTATTCAAGATGGGCAGTTCTCATGCTCCCAGAACCTTCTGATAAAATCTCCAGTTCTGAAGTGGACTTGAAAACTTTAGACAGTTCTGATGTATTCATCTGAAGAGTCATCTGGAAAATTTTAGAAAAATCCTAGTCTAATGGCAGGGGATCTGCCCAATGATTGCTCCCCACAACCCCAATCCAACCTGCTAACCCAACATGATTACTTGATGATCCAACTCACACCACAATTGCAAACTACCCCTCCCCCCCAACCCCCCACAACCACTGCCCTGACCAGATCAGCCCCACCATCTTTCCAACCAAGCCTCAGTATCCCCCTCACCTCAAATCCCCAGCACCTAAATATGACAGCCGTGAGTGCTGTTTCATAGACAATCTGAGCCAATTTTATGTACTGTTCATAAGGGTTCTTAAGGAAATTTCCAATATGACCATTTACCTCCTGTCTTTCCTCCCCTTACCACACAATTATGGGAGGGGAGAGAATCATGAGTGAAAATGAATCTTTTCATATTTTATCATTCTCTTGATTTAACTTAACTGTGCTTTGTTCGCAGTTTTTATTAAAATACTTTGTGTTTCTGAAGTAATTAGCATTCTCACTTTGGTTCTCTTGGGTAAAACAGTGTGGTGTCATAAAATATCATCACACATATTACACTGTAACCTAGAAATGTGGCTGTTTTAAAACAAATGCAGCATCAAAGTGTTCAAAATGTTGAACGATGTCTTCATATATTCTGAGTGGTCTGTACACCTTCCATTCTTTTGATACATTGACATAAACAAGTATTGATCACCTCGGACCCAGTGCCTAAAACAGGTTTTAGGGCTTTAGCATTTGCTGTTTCATATCCCTGTTACCAAATTATGTTTTTTCTTTGTGGACTCACAGGTACTGGGCCTAATGAGCAATCCTGGCACCACCACTAAAAGTTGTTAATGTTAAAATATCTGAATGTGAAGTCAGAACATAAGGGATGTTTTGCTTTGGTCTACACTGTAAGCCATGGTAGCACCTGAGTAATGATCATTCACTTCATGTCCTCACTATTACCCTTGACCCTGGCCTGGGCCAGCCCTACCTGAAGGTGATGTAAAAGCCTGGAACCCATTGGTCTTTGCGAAGGAGCAATATATATACACAGCAAGCATCAGAAGTTGTCATAGCATCAAAGATTGATTGAAACACTTGAATGCTTTATCTAACAATGCATTATTCAAGAACATCTATGATAGTCCAAGTCAAAATCTCACAACCAAAATTATCATAAATACAATAGCTGAAGGATTTTGCCAAAGCTCAATTTACTTAATCAGAGTATCACCAGCTTGATGTTCATGTAGTTTTAGTACAGTTCGGATGTACTCTGTATTTAACGCATCATTAATGATTTCTATCTTTGAGGCTGTCCTTTAGTCGTGTAAGTATTTTAAACATACAACATCCTCCTTAACAGCAGGTTAATCAGGAATTGACCAGTTGGTACATACTCAAGGGCCTCAGGGCAGTTGGCACCCCCAGAATTCCTCAATATGGCACCACTATATTTATCCATGAGCTGTGGTTCTTGACTCATTGTCTCCCATTTTCCTTTTTCGCTGTATTATAAGCTGTTAAAGAACCCCAGCTCAAACAGTAGGTACATTTTTAGCAGCTTTTTTAAACCACCACTCCCCTATCTCCCGATCCTACCTGCAGTTTGCTTTCAGGG